CAGGGACTTAAGCAGATATTTGTATATCCATAGGTATATCAGTACTATTCACAATAGCCAAAAGGTGGACACAATTCAGAAGTCTACCAATGAATGAAGGGATAAACAAAATGTGGTAGATACGAATAATATCCCATTATATATGTCTATACACACACACACATACACACACACCACACACATACATACACACACATACACACACACACACACCACACACACGGATTTGATTTTTGGTTTTGTTTTTGTTTTGCTAGCATGGTATATTTTCATGACAGAAGTTGAAAAGAAACATTTTGTTTATTACAAAGTATTATGGAGGGTTTTCCTGACATGAAAAGTCTGAAAATTGAGCATTCATTCTCTCAACAAATATTTCCTGATAGCACACTATGTATGGTTCAGGTATTAATCTCAGCCTTAAGGATACAGGAAACAATAGAGGGGGGAAAAAGTCTATGCTCACATTTATTTTTTTAATTGAAGCATAATTGACATATTTTAGTTTCGGGCGTATAACATGATTCAATATTTGTATATATTGTGAAATGATCACCACAATAAGGCTAGTTAACATCCATCACCACACATAGTTACACAATTTTTTGATGAGAGCTTTTATGATCTACTCTCTTAGCAACTTTTAAGTATGCAGTACAGTATTACATACAGTCACCATGCTGTACATTGCATCCCCAAGGCTTACTTATTTTATAAGTGGAAATTTGTACCTTTGATTCCCTTCACTCATTTTATCCACCCCTCCACCCCCTGCATCTAGCAACCACCAATGGACCTCCCATCATATAAATCTGTTTTTTCTAAAACACAACGTCAGCCTTTTTTTTTTTTTTAAGGTAATCTCATATGTCAGATGGCAAAGGCCTGTTTGGTTGGCCAACTGATTAAATTGAGGCAGAGGGAGTTTGTAGTCCAGGATGAACTAGAAATCTGCACTTGGCTTAAGGTCATTGCCTCCTGGTGCTCCAAAGAAAGGGTCTACATTCACATGGTAAAATAGAATAGACCCACTTTCACTTCAAACCAGAAATGATTCTCTGTGTTCAGTCAATGAAGAAATATAGTGGCAGATCATTCAAAATAATGTTTTTAAAAAAACAGCACATGTGATTGGGGCACTAATGTTTAAATAGAATGTGTCTGCTCTGGATTCAGATATTTCAAACAAAGAACAACTTTCATTAGGAAGGCCCTACAGCAAAACCTAACTGTGAAAGCTGATTCAGCCTACCTCAGTCCTGGCTGCTTGTCACTTAATACCTCAGAAGTGAATGGTGTTGCCTCCACCATGGCAACAAAGCTTCAAAATTGAACTTCTTTAAAGCCCCTCCCTTGATAGTATCTTTCAAAGAGACACCCCCTCGCTTTGTCGCTCTGCTTGGGTTACAGGCTGTCTTTTGGGAATGTCAAGAGGTTACAAGAATCGAGCACATACAGTCATGTATCACTTAACGACAAGGATGCATTCTGAGAAATGTCATAGGCAATTTCATCATTGTGTAGACATCACAGAATGCACTTACACAAACCTAGATGGTGTAGCCTACTACACCTAGGCCCTATGGGATAGCCCAGGGGTGGGGAACCGTTTTTCTGCCAAGGGCCATTTGGATATTTATAACATCATTTGCAGGCCACACAAAATTATCAACTTAAAAATGAGCCTGCTCTATTTGGTTGAACATTTAATTAACTCACCCCTAATGCCTTGGCAGGGCCAGGCCAAATGATTTCTCAGGCCTTATATGGCCCACGGGCTGTCCGTTCCCCACCCCTGGTATAGCTTATTTCTCCTAGGCTACAGGCCAGTACAGCACGTTACGACAAAACGCCAGAGTAAAACGAGTTCAAGAGGAAATAATGTAATCAAGAGACCCAGTAGACATCAGATGTATGAAGCTGCTGCTGGTGTAACACAGCATATGTCTATAACAAATTTTATGAATAGAACGACTATAAACTACTGACAAAAATATAGTATAGCAAATATATAAACCAGTAACATAGTCCTGTCAAGTATGGTGTACTGTACTTAATTGTATGTGCTATGCTTTAATGGGACTGGCAGCACCGTAGGTTTGTTTATACTAGCATTGCCACAAACTCATGAGTAGTGTGCTACACTACAACTAGAAGCCTGGTGCACAAATTCGTGCATGGGTGGGGTCCCTTGGCCTGGCCAGTGATCAGGGCCAATCTGGGCCATCTCACCCAGTCCCAATGGGCCCCAATTGGGGCCTGCCGGCTCGGGGGAGGGACTGTGAGAGGTTGGCTGGCCTCAGGAGGTTGGCCGTAAGAGCACACTGACCACCAAGGGCAGCTCCTGCGTTAAGCATCTGCCCCCTGGTGGTCGGTGCATTTCATAGCGACCGGTGGTTCGGTTGTTTGGTTGCTTAGGCTTTTATATATATAAATGGCTATGACATCACTAGGTGATAGGAATTTTTCAGCTCCATTATAATCTTATGAGACCACCATCATATACGTGGTCCAACTTTGACTGAAACATCTTTATGTGGTGCATGACTATACTTAAATAAATAAGGTGGTAGGTGATGAGATTGAAAAATGATATCTTGGGCTCTGATAATCCACCAATGAGACAATAAATGGGAATAGATAGTCTATTCTAGTGATTGAGAAGCTGATTGCTTGCTCAAATTGCGGTAGCCACCTGCCAAGATAGCCCCACCACCTCCTGGTATTCATATCCTTGTGATTGTCCTCCCCAAATATACCAGGATTAGTCTGTGAGGGCCAATCAAACCATGTCTGCCTGCTAAATTTGATCCATCAAAGATCAAGTTGGAACCAAGCTTTGTATCCAGAACTATATCTATTTGTATATATTGATCATATAGAGCAATATAGATCGATGTAGATATGGAAGATTTGAGTCATGCCATATCCTTTGCAAATGCCGGAAGGCTCTATGAATTTTGTAACTTAAATCCTTCTATTTCCTGCCTTTTCAAGTTTGGGTTATTTGTATCAGTACTGTATTTTCAGATAATGTGGGTCCTCTATTTTAAGAAATGAGTTCCAGTCCTAAATTCACAAATAAAGAATTATTATAGTAATAGCATATTCATGAAAAGCAAATTACTTATCTTGGCGTTTAACATCCTTGTAACTATTCCTGTACTTTTAATGTCAACAGAAAAAAAGTAATGTCTAAGTCTGGCTGATACAGTAAATTAATGTTAATAACAGTTTTGACACTAATAGCAAGTGTTAAAAAGAAAAACCTCCCGCCTTTAAGCTGGGTTTCATTTCTTAAAAATCACCTCAGCTCGCTGTCACCAGACCCCCCGCTCCAGAACAATTCCAGCTACTATTCACCTTCATTGGGAGCCTGAAATGACTAGGGTCTACACAGTTTCTATGAAATGATATTCCTTCCCTGCCTTTGCTCACTCCATATGGAGAAAACACCCACTCCCTTGAGTTACAACACCAGAGCTTCTCAGCAGACACATTTCTGAGTCCCTATAAGCACATGAATACCTACATGGTTTCATTAACAATCCACTAGCTGTTTCTTCAGCATTTGAAGATTAGTTGTGAAACTGAGAACCATTAAATTACACACCAGGTTAATAGGGAACTTCAGACTTTATGTTATAGAGACCATGGAACACCAGAGAACAGGGTCTGCACTTCGTCCTCATGTTGGTCCCCAGTACTGTGCACACACAAGGACATTCATACTGTCCCATGGATTCAACTGACCTAAGTGAAAATGTTAACATGCCCGAGGGAGAAGAAAAAGGAACCCAGCCCCTGGCTCCTCCACTCTTGCCATCTCTTTCTAGCCGTCAACAAGGGTTAAAGCGGCCCCTTGCAGACTCAGCCAACAGGACATGGTTGGCCTGCGATATCCCCCCTCTATAATCACTTAGAAACCAGTAGGCTTTCAGCAAAGTGTCTCTTCCCATTTCTCAAACGTTGTTCTTTTTCTATTACTAATTGAGTGTTTTACTTTTAGATAATCCTCTAATGAACCAGCTCAAATGAGCAGAGAGGCAGGAGTGACAACCCATCAATAAAATAATTAAAGCGAAGTGGATTTTGTTAGAGACTTCTCATGTCATAATAGGAAATCTAGGCTACTTAAAATCAGGGAAATTAAATGGAATCATTTATTTTTGTTTTAAAAGGAAGTTAGCTGTAAAAGTATCTCTTTCAAAGAACCCTCATTAACTCTGCTGACAATGTTGGTTATTTATTCTGGAAGTGCACATACAACAGAAAATACCAAGGGAGTTCAAGGTGGTTTCCAGAATTTTCTTTTCCCTTCTCATATGTTTCATTCAGAATTTTCTGTAGAATTTAGGCAAGAGACCCTTGACAGTTTCTGTTTTAAGATTCAGATTGTGGCATCAGTCCCCAAAGACTTTTGTGCCAACATACACATGCTATGGAAAAAACAGGAGGGGAAAAAAGAAGAAACAGGGAAATCAGGGCATGATGGGTATAGTTGCAGGGCCAAATCTTACCTCTTCTCTCTCTTCCAACCAATGAAAGAGGAGAGTTTCTGGTAACAAAATCTGGCCAAGGCAGCTGTTTCATTCGCACCCTCCTCCCCTGGTTGATCCAAGAGCCAGTTAGCCTTGTCTTACAAGTTCCATGATGCCACTGACTCAGTTCACCTTTATCGTCAAGCTTTGTATCATCTCCCACTGAGAACCTGAGATGAGCTACAGAACCAGCCTCTGCAGTAATTGCATTCAATGACTACCAAATGGCTTTAAGCTCTGGACAAGAGCTGGCTTTGGGTACTATTGGGTACTATATTGAGGGGTTAAGCAGGAACTAAATAAGGAAGTGACATGAACTTGAAGTCACTCAGGCTGACTGATGCCCAAAGTGGAGGCCACATATTGGACTGAGATAAGGGACACCCTTGACAGTTACGTGAAAAAGAAGATACACTGAAAACACCCGTCATCATGGGGCCAAGTGAAATAATTACATACCCATGCTCCATCTGGCCCAAACAGTTCTAAGAAGTTGCCAATGAATTCCCTTGACTTCTCTTCCCACTTTTGAATTAGATCATGACTCTTTTCTTCCACTCTGTTAACAAATTCCTTCGATCTTTCCTCCACATTCTTAACCTTTTCTTTCATCTTGTCTACCTGGTTTTGAAAGCGGTATTTCTTCTCCTGGTCAAAAAGTAGAGGAGGGGAAAAATGGATTTATCGGAGAGGGCATGAGAGAGGTCAGTCATTCACATTAATGGTTTTATTTTCTTTCAACTTGTGTTCTTAATCTGAAGAGTCCGGATGTTACTATTTCCCAAGAGCTGGATTGATGGGAAGGTACATCTCTTATTAGAAAAGTCACTTGTCACCCTCGCCAGTTTGGTTCAGTGGATAGAGCATTGGCCTGAAGACTGAAGGGTCCCGGGTTAGATTCCAGTCAAGGGCATGTACCTTGGTTGCAGGCTCCTCCCTGGCCCAGGCCCTAATGGGGGCACGTGCAAGAGGCAACCAATCAATGTGTTTCTCTCACATGGATATTTCTCTCTGTCTCTCCCTCTCTCTAAAAATCAATGGAAAAATATCGTCAGTTGAGGATTGAAAAAAAAAGAAAGAAAAAGAAAAGGCACTTATCATTAGTCTTGTTGGATATGTACAAGTGAAGTACAACTGGTTTTAACAGTCTCTTTTTTGTAAATGTCTTAGTTGAATTCGATTATATAAGAGAATAACCAAAAAATATATATTTGCTCATTATTATGGGTAGATAATGGGCAAATACACCCTCCCCAATTCTGCTGGGACTTAGCCAAAAGGATAAATGTACATAGAATTGCCCCTCAGAGGCTTCCTGAATCTTCTGTTTCACTGAGACATTGTTAAAACCAATATGGGTTGAAAAAGTAGGTCATTTGCTGGGCCTTAGAATCCACGTGTTATGCTAAACTTTTCATTGTAACGGTATTTTCCATGAAGCTAATTGAACTGCATTGCTTTTCTTGGTGGTGAAGAAATCTCTTATCCTAGATCAACCGAAGGACTTGTATGCATGCATATAAGCATAACCAATGGACATAAGACACTGGGGGTAGGGAGGCCAGGGGATTGTCAAGGGCGGCGGGGGGCGGGGGGAGGACACATATGTAATACCCTTTGTAATACTTTAAGCAAAAAAAAAATCTCTTATCCTGATAGCTTCTTTTGACTGGGGCTTTGTTTTTCTTATAGCTTTTATGCAGCAGTGCTAATATCTGTATGCCTGGAAGGCATTGTATGTTAGGCAAATCACAAAAATCACATGGCACTTCTAAGCCTCAGTTTCCTCATCTGTGAAATGGGATCATTATCCCTACCCTAGAGGGTCGCTGCAACAATTAGATAAATTAATGCAAGAATGTGCTTTGGCACAGCCTGGCATTTAGTAAAAGCTCAATGTGCGTTGTCTGTTTCATTGCTACTAAGTGGCTAGGCATTTAATCCTGTTACCTGATGACAGTGATATGAAAACCATGAAAATAACATGAGACAGAGGGTCCTCCCCTCCATGAAATCATCATACATTTTCTCCTAAATAGGTAGTAAGCTTTATCGTTTTTCTTCACTACACGGGACTGCGGTTCATTTCAGATTTCAGATTTTCTCGAGGCACCTGGACGATTGCAAAACTGGATCAGGATTCCCTGATTTAGACTTTCCAAACTTCACTGAAGCTTCAGGGTGGGGTGTGAGCTATATGTGCTGCCACTCAGCTTTTTTAAAATAAATAAATAAATAAATAAATATACTTGCTATATATATGTGTGTATATATATGTATTTATACATATATATATTTGTTATATATATTTCAGGAAGGAAGGGAGAGGAAGAGAGGAACAGAAATATCAGTGATGAGAGAGAATCATTGATTGGCTGCCTCCTGCACACCCGACACTGCGGATTGAGCCCACAACCTGGTCATGTGCCCTGACCGGGAATCAAACCATGATCTTCTGGTTCATAGGTTGATGCTCAACCACTGAGCCATGTCAGCTGGGCCACTCAGCTATTTTTACTATATGGTTATTATAATGGCTCTCAGGGGCAGCACAGAGCAGTAGAATGAGCACTGGATCGGGAGTCACAAGGCTGGGAGGCTGCTGCACCTCCACCTCTACTTTGTTGAGGGGCCTTGGCCAGGTATCCTCTGAGCTCAGCTTTCCTCATTCCTACATGGAGGGACTTGGACAGGGTGACTGACCCTCGGCAGGTTCCGGCCACCTCTGGGGTCCCGTGACTCATCTACACGCCCCTCCAACACATTTGACTCTCTCTCCAGGCTGCAGCCAGGTTTGTTGTCACAGAAAGGGCATGAGAGCATCCATGCCGACTGCACAGCTCCCTGAGCTCAGGGGCTTAGCCACAGGCCGCCTAAAGAGCGTGAGCGAGAACTTTTGGAAATGGCTCGACATGCTTGGATGGTTGACTGAATTCAGTTTAAAAGATCACTTTAATGTCTTTAAATAACCAGGGCTTAATTCTCTATGAGACACCAAATAATCACGTTGACAGAATTCTTTACAGCCACGTATTCTGGTGCCACTTGAAGCTGACATTTTCCACTTTGTTGCCCGGCTTGCATGAAGCCACAGAGCCTGGCCCACCAGCACCCCCCCCCGCCCCGCCCCCGTCTCGTGGGGACAACTAATAATTCCTGATTTACAATTAATGAGCCCTACCTCATTGTGAAGGGAGCAGTGACCAATCTGTGTAAGCTACTGACTAATTATGGCTGTGCGTAATTCTAAGCATCTAGTTTTATAGAAAAATCCCTCTTTGAAAATACAGTATTTTGGGGGGTTGAAATTCTGGATGGATGGAGAGTTCTTTTAATCAACTACCTGGGCTCCTCGGAGTCTAGGCAAATACAGTTGTCCAGACTCGCTACCATCACCTCCAGCAACTGGGCTGCCCTCTTTGCTTTTTAACAGTTTGTTTTGCTTGTTTTAAAGATTGTTTTAACAGCTACTCTATTATTAAGCTAACAGCAGCTCTGTGGGAACAACATGGCAGAAATACCCGAGGAAGCCAAAGACTTTAGGCTTTATTTAAGGAGCTGTAATTTCTCTGGACAAGAAAAAACTGTTTTTAAGGTGTCTGGTGAGCATCTGTGAGGTCTTAATAAAATGATAATTTAAAAATGTTAGAACAAGAAAGCGTTTTCTCTGGGTTTAGCTTTCCATCCCCTCTGCCCTCCTTCCTTCCCTCTGAGCAGAAGAGAACTATTTTTGTTGTTGTTGTTAATCCTCACCCGGGAATATTTTTCCATTGATTTTTAGAGAGAGTGAAGGGAGGGGGAGAGACAGAGAGAGAAACATTGATGTGAGAGAGACGCATCGATTGATTGCCTTCTGCCTGGCCCCTGACCGGAGCTGGGGATGGAGCCTGCAACTGAGGTACGTGCCCTTGACCAGAATCGAACCCGGGACCCTTCAGTCCAAGGGCCCACCCTCTATCCTTTGAGCCAAACCGGCTAGGACCAGAAGAAAACTCTTGCTTTTCATGAGAGCAGATCTCCCAGAAACCGTTGGCCAGGTCTGAGAACTCTAAAGAGGAATATTAAGGGGAGGGGAGGGGAGGGAAGTGAGGCAGTTCCTTTATAAAATGTGGAGCTCACTACCTGTGTGCCTTGGTTGACTTATGTTACCCCTTTGAACATTGGTTTCTCCACCTATAACATGGGGATGATAATACATCCTTGGGTTGTTATGTGGATTGAATGAGACCATAAATGTAAAACACCAAGAACACGGAGTGGCATATAGTAAGTGCTCAATAAACGGCGACAGTGGTGTGATTTGGTGGTCTTCAGAGGGTACGAAGTGGCACACTTACATTTATGAAGCTGACATTCAGTTCCTTTGCTGTGTACCCTCTCTGGAGGTTACGACGGGCATACACATCATAGTCTCGGACAATTCTGGTGATGATATCTGATGTTGAGATGCCTTCTGTTCTCTGCGTTGGAACGAACATTCCTGTTCAGATAGGAAAGGGGAGATGACGAGAAAAAAGTAAGAGGGACTTGGTTAACCCATCTTCTTTAATCCTTCTTTGCAGAGAAAAGTTGTAGCTCCTGCTGTGTCATTGAGGTTTTCACATCTGACCCAGCTGACTCTTCCAAGGCTCAGTTCTGCATGCTCCTGTTCTCCCATTAACACTGAGTGTTCATCATCCTGGACCTGGACGCACCATGCACTCACCCAGCTCCTAGCATTTGCTCATGCCCAGCCCTTCCTTTCTGCCTCGAATCCTCCTTCCCTGCTCACACCAGCCACAGCATTCCTCATCCTGCCACGTCCAGTTGCCAGGTTATGCCTCTGGGAAGTCTTTACTAACACTCCTGGGCAGAATCCTCAACATTTAGGACATGCAATGAGAATGGTGCCCCCTGCGACTGCATAGAGCATCTTCCACTAACAAAAGTATTTTCAATGTCTGATTTCTTGTAGAAAGAGAACATTCTGAAAGCACCTATTATGCCTTGACTGTCTTTGCATCCTCAGCACCAAGATCAGTGCCCCTGTGTCTAGCACAGCGGTCCTCAACCTGTGGGTCGCAACCCCTTTGGGGGTTGAACGACCCTTTCACTGGAGTCGCCTAAGACCATCGGAAAACACATATGTAATTACATATTGTTTTTGTGATTAATCACTATGCTTTAATTATGTTCAATTTGTAACAATGAAATTGGGAGTCACCACAACATGAGGAACTGTATTAAAGAGTTGTGGTATTAGGAAGGTTGAGAACCACTGGTCTAGCACATGGAAGGTGCTCAAGAAATGCAAATTAAATGAGTAAATGAAGAGAGAATAAAACTGAATCCATGAATTAGTCAAATCATGGCAACTCCCCTTCTTCCCCAAGGAAGTCTGTGTCACGTTATACTGAAAGAAAAGAAGAAAAAGTGTTTTATTTTTGTTTTCTCTGATCTAAAAACATGTTTGTGGGGTGCTAGATGATTTTATCTCCCTAAGACTCTTCTACTCTGGATGGTGATATCCCCACTCAAAGACCCTTTCATTTAGAATACGTGGGACTGAGTAAAAAAAAAAAAAAGCAGAGGATGCCAAACTACAATAGAACTTCCTTAAAGTCCTCAGATATACATGGGTATACCAATACAGGGCTAAAAAGAGATCACAAATGTTATCAAAGACAAGAAGCTGGTTTGTGCTTACAGGTGTCAACTGAAATGCTGTGTTGGCAATTGAGATCTTTCTACCTGGTATGATTATGGCTACTCAATCAGAGACATCAAGCCATGGGACGGCATGATGGAAAGAGTCTAGGGAACATGATGCTGGCTTCTTGGTTTGTAGATTTGGGCAAGTTTATCAAGCCTCAGGAGGCAAGTTACTTAACCTCAGTCTCCAAAGCTGAGAAACAAGGTGGCTAGATAAGATGACCTTGGGCTCATCCATGCCACTTCCCTCTCCCTCACTCCTTATACCCAATTTCCTTCTAATCATCAATCTACTTCGTAAATGTCTCCCCAACTGATGCAATTGTCTCCATTCTCCAATTCTAAACCAATCTAATGCCATCTTTTGCAAAGATTACAGCGAGAGCCTCAATACCACTCTTCAGCGATGCCATTTTTTTGGTCCTCTCAGTTAACTCTCCCTATAGCAAGATCACAGGGCAGTCTTTCAAAATGCAAGTCATGTGCCTACCCAACAGCCTTCACTGGCTTTCCTCTGTATTTAATATATTTTTATTGATTTCAGAGAGGAAGGGAGAGGGAGAGGTAGAAACATCAATGATGAGAGAGAATCATTGATCGGCTGCCTCCTGTATGCCCCACACTGGGGATCGAGCCTGCAACCCGGGCATGTGCCCTGACCAGGAATCAAACCATGACCTCCTGGTTCATAGGTTGATGCTCAACCACTGAGCTATGCTGGCTGGGCTACTGTCTTCTGTATTTATATTCAAAACCTTAACCTGGCCCTGCAGCAGCTTGCATTTTCTCTTCCCTGTGCTTTTCTCCAGTCTCACCTCAGATGCTCTCCACCTCCTTCACTCCCTAAGCCAAGTCCTTGTGCTACACAGGGGCACGGGTACCATTTTAATTGTAGTCCATGGCACTGGGCAACAGTCTGGCACTGCCTTGGTCCAGCCACACTGAACTTCAGTGTCCTGAAAGGGCTGGCCCCCTCTCTTTACTCTGCCACAAACACACTCCACCTGGTTAACTCTTGGTCATCCACTGGGTTTCACCTTTAGCGTCACTTCCTCAAGGAAATCTCTCAACCTCTGACTGGATCTTCCTGTTCGTTATTTCCCTACCAAGGTCCAACTAACTGCTCTTCTCCTTCAGTTATTCCAAGGTCTTTATAAAACAACTTGTTCAATAACTGCCTTCCCGACTTGACTATAAGCTACATGAGGAAAGGAACTGCTCGTGTCTCATTCTCTTCTATAGTCTCAGCACCAGGTGACAATTGAGCACTTATAGGGACATTTGGTGAATGAGTGGCTAGATGAATATTGATCCCTAAATGCCTTTCCAATTCCAGTTTTCTCTGAATCTATCAAGTGGGGGAGGGGTAAATTTTCTAGTCTTCTGGCCCCTCCCAAGGTGTCCCTTCGGAGCTTTCTTTGGAGATCATCTGCATATTGGCAGTATCAGCAGCAGGGTGGCACTGCTGATGTTAAAGACAACACATCCGGTTTCTAATATTCTGTAGCTCAGAAGACAGAGTTGGGGTTCCCACTAGACCAAAAACGTCCTTTATCTCCTTCTAAAAAGGAGGACTCCAGAAAACCAAACGGAAGGCAGAGGATGCAAACATCTAAATGCGTGGGTATAAACAACACTCAAGTGACCCAGCTGTGCAGGGTGCTTTGGTGGATGGGGAACTCTGAGCTGTCCCAAAGCAGGAAAGGGGGGACCTGAAATAACACCTTGGTGGGAGCAGCAGGGAGCCTTCCGGTGAGAAAGAAGGATGTGCCATCTTTCCGCAGACAGCTATTTCACTCTACCCCTACCTGCTGAAATGTTAAGAGGATTCTCTGGCTATTCATGGACTTTAACAAATCACTTCGACACTGGTGACATGAGCTCACCCTTTCTTTAAAGCCACAGGGTGAGGCCTCTGTGGCTGAGTAACTAAAAGTTGGCTTTGGGGAGAGATTTGCTTTGTCTGGTTGGGAGGTAGGTCTCTGAAAGAAGCCAAGCCCTCTGCTGCTATAATGAGGCACCCGGCTTCCTCCACATCCTAATTATTGCTCTGCTAAAAATATTCAGTAATGAGTATGATCAGAGAACCTTTTTTATCATGCTTTTCAGAATTGCAGCATTTGGTTATGGAGCTATTTTAAGAAGCAGCAAAGCACATGTTAATGAAGGGAACTTTCAACAGTAGTAGGCAATATTAGAATGATGATGATGTGGACCTTACAGTCTACTTCATTTAAGCCCCATCTTTTAATCCAGCTTTGCAGCAGGATTTTGACACGTAGCTTTGATAAGCAGAGTAGAGTACTGTAAACTTTAATTCATGCCCTTGATACCTCTGGCTTCATTTAACGTGATTTCTGACATGCAAAGTATACCTCAAGTATAAAAGCCAAATGTGGAGGCTTAGGCCATTTCTGAGCATCTTTCTCCCACGATGAATATGCCGGCCTCCTCTACCTGGACCCTAAACAGATCTCTGCTGTGGGTCTTCATTGGTGAGGACTCAACAGAGCAGATCAGTGGATCACAAGAATGGGTCCCTGTGCATATGAAAAATCACACATAGGCTTATGCCTGTGCTCCCAGGGCAAGTAAAATACCATCTCACTATTCAACTTGGAGGTGAAAATTGTGGTGAATTAAACATGAGCACAGTTCCCATCCTCTGAAATCTGGGCTGGCCTTAGTGACTTGCTTATAACAAACTGGCTGTGGTATCAATCAGCGGTCACCAACTGGTGGTCCGTGGACCACTGGTGATCTGTGAGGTCCGAAAGGTTGGCATCCGCTGGTATAAATGACACTAGGTGACTTCCAGGGCTAGGGCAGAAAAATTTGGTGGCTTCTATCAAGATGGCAAGCCCTCCGGATGCCTCCTCTTAGGACGCACACTCTTAGAACCCAGCCACCATGCTCTGAGAAGCCCATAGGACCCAGGAGGGCCATGTGTAGGTGCTCCAAGGTCAAGCCCAACTGAACTCCCTGTGGGCAGCCAGCACCTGTTGCCAGCAACAGTTGGGCCTTTAGATAACTGCAGCCCCAGCCAACATCTGAAAACAGTCGTTTGAGACACCCAGCCAAACCCTCCACTCTTTTAAGTCACTAAAGTGGGGCGAGGCGGGGGGGTTAATTTCTAATGCAGCAATACGGTGCTGAGTAGCATAGAGTTAGAAAAACGTTGGAGCTGTTCCTACACCTAAACAGCTAGAGTTGAGGTTTGACTCCCTAAAATCGGGAAAGCAACTTTTCTTAGCCCACTAGCGGTCATCCACCCAGAAGGAAAACCACCACTGAGTGCTTGTCCCTACTCTGGACAGTAGCTGAGGAACTGTCACCCTGGGATATGTTGGTTCCATTAATCCTGGGGGTGATCCGGGGTGAACCAGAATCCCTGGTCTGGATTCTCGCTACTCTAGGGGAGATCTATAGACCTGCAGCTTCTAACAACCTGGGGGCTCATTGGAAATGGGGATCTTGGGTCCCACCAGGCCCACTGAATCCAAACCTGCACTTTGAAAGGACCCTGAAGGGATCTGTAGGCACAGTCCCAGTTGACAGGCACGGGTCTCTATTGGGTCCTTCAGAGCAGTGTTAGAAAAGGAGCAGCTGGCTCACAACTCAGATCTTACAAAGACTAAACTGATGTAATTGATGCCCCAGTCAGTTCCTCCCCCTCCCAGACATGTTCCACAGCACCCTTGCAAGTCCGACGTGTATGGGGCTTCCTTTCTTAGAACTCCTTACAAACAAGATCAGGATTTGAAAACATCAGACCTCCCATTCTTACCTAATGCGTTTATAATTATTCAAAGTGTGTGCATACAACTTTTTTGAGACATCCTATATTTTACTGGAATCTACAAAAACTTATCCATGCTTTCTATCCTCTGCATGTGGTACTCTGAGGATATTATTATCATGTGACAAGATGATATACGGCAGGACTGGACTTGGCAGACAATGAGTCCAGATTGTTAATTAGCCAGTTATCTGTCGTCTTCTGGAACTTTCTTGGGAGTGTAAAATAATTTCATTGTGAGGACTTCATTGTGAATGAGGAAAATGATTGCCCTTTAAACCACAGGGTCCTGTGAGTTTGGTCTGATGAAGCCTTAAACCGGAAGTTGAGTACTTTGGGGCTCAGGTTAATCCCTATATAAATACCTAATTGGGGTCTGCACCATTTAGCACATGTGAACAGAGGCTTGAAAAGGCTACTTGGGAGACCTCTGAAATTCCAACTGGTGTGTCTATACTGGAGACCTAGGGCAGACGCCGCACTAAACCTGATTATTGTGCCACAGTAGACAGGGGAGCCCAGAACTCCTCACCTGCTTCCTTTATGTGCTTGTAAACATCATCTGAGCCAGCAGATGAGTACGGAATGTCATCATGGGCCACAAAGTCAATCTGTTAGAGAGAGAAGAGTGATGTCACCACTGGGGTAGATGTGCATGTCTGCAATTTGAAAATGCCTTTTTGAAATAAAGCAGCTGGAATAAAGCAGTTGAAATAAGCAGTTTATAATGTGGCTTGGAATCCTGGACTGAAAGGTATTTCCAACCATCTCCATGTCTGTGAGAGAATGGGAACTAGATTGGTTTCTCTCCTGTGCTGGTCCCCCTTTCTCCTACCGCTGACAGTAGGTTTTCTTGGCCTCTTGTTTTTCTGCCTCTAAACTTTGTCCTTTAGAGAATTCATTCATTCTTCACACTTGAGTCACCACTGCTATGATGAGGAACCCAAGTCTCCATTTCCTGCCCCATTGATGGCAATAGGCACTCACACTTAAGTGCCATCTTATACGGTATTATAGAAATGAATTTAGTCTGATGAATGAATTTTATCTCTTTTCTCATTTGATTTTTCATAACCACCTTGTGAGGTAAGTAGGGTGCATATTATTATTTCAGTTGGGACATAAGGCTGCTGAATCTGGAAAACTTATTAGATTTGCCCAAAGTCACCCTTTTCTCTTTTGCTACCCCTCACTGTCTCTTTAAAATCCATCTACCTGGAATTTCATTCATCCTGAAAACTGGTGCCCCCTTCTAAGGGCACCTCCATTTTTCCAGTTCACCTAGGCCCCAAACACCTTGGAAGTGGCCTGCCTCACTTCCTCTCTGTTGCTACTACACTAATCCAGGGTCGGGTCACCTGATTATTGATCTCAATTTGTACCTGATCTTCCTCACTACAGGCTCCTGTCCAAGTCATTCCTCTGTCACCTGAGGGATCTTCCTTAAACAGAATTTTCTCTGTGTCATCCTTGTGCCTGCTGACTCCACTAGTTCTGTTTCCTCCTACATCAAGTAAAACCTCCTTACCTACCTTTCAAAGCCCTTTATAACACACCTACACTCCACCTTGAGAGGTAGTTTGGAATAGCAGTTTAATTTGCATGGATGTGATTCTTGCCCCACCACTTACTAGCTACCTAACTTATAAATTGGTGGTAAAGATTAAATCAGGATTTCTCAAACTCGGTACCAGTGACATTTTAACCTAATCACTCTTTTTGGTGGAGTGTCTGTCCTGTGCACTGTAGGATGCTTAGTAGCACCCTATCATTTACCCACTAGATGCCAGTAGCACCCCTCTTGTTTAAATGTTTAAAAATAATAACTGGCACACAGACTCAATGTTAGTTATTATTATTCTTAGTACTCAAACTTAGTTCCTCCTCCTGTCCAATATATAATAATAACAAGAACAAGAACAACAACTTCTCAGGGTAGCCATGAAATTGAGTACAATTTGTGTAAGAGCAAAGGACTTAGCACAGGGCTGGGCACATAGTGAATACTCAGAAAGTGGCAGCCATCATCACCATCATGAGCACTTCCATAATGCCTAGCACAAGTTGAATATACAATAGATGCTTAATAAAAATGTGTTAGTGATTGCTGGAAGTAAATTATATTGTAGTTCTTCCTTTTTCTTTTTATTCTTGCTGGGACATTGTCTCCTCTGCTATTACCGATGCACATTTATCAGTGTTCTCTATTCTCTTCTGCATGGTGAATTTAAAAATAGACAAGAAAACTCTTAGAACTGCTTAATCTTATTTTTTTGTGCTGCTTATAAAAGGAAAGAATAGCTCCTAATGTGGGTCTGGTAGGGAGATACAAAGCACATAATTTGATGCAAATCAAACGAATTTTTCATGTTTTCAACTAATACAGATCTTGTATCAGTAGGAGTCTCGGGGTCACAAAATCATAGATATAAAGTTCGTTCCCTAACGGCTGACCCCTGCCCTTCTGGATAAGATGTGTGTTCATTTGTTCCATGAAAAATGCTGCCTGGGAATCTATAAGCACAAATAATGACAGTGGTGATGGTGACGATAATGACATTTTTGGAGCTCTTGCTATGAGCCAGCCACTGTTCCAAGGGTTTCACTTAGGTGAGCCAGCCACTGTTCCAAGGGTTTCACTTAGATGAGCTCATTGGAGCCTCAAAACAGCCCCAGGAGGAAAGCACTAATATCATCCCATTTTACAGTTTAGGTGAGTTCAATATTTTGCTCAAGGTTAGGAAGGGATAGAGGCTGGAGTTGGACCTGTTGGGGGTCTAGCTCCAGAGCCCACACTGAAGAAGTGAGAGGCTATCAGTCCCCAGGATCGGGCAGGAGAGAGGGGCTCCATCAAGTGACACCAAATGGCAGTTCCTGAAGTCCCCTCTTTTAGGAATTGGTAGAGTCTTTGGGCTTTCTGGGCATTGGCTGCAGAGCCAGGTGCCTTGATTGTGCTACTTAGAGAACAGGGGAGAGTAAGTACCTTGTGTTTTTCCAAAAACTCTGGTGTGAGTGTCCATGGAGCATCTCTGATGACTTCGTCCACATAGCGACAGTGTCTGAGAGCCTCGTATCGCTCTGCTTCATTCATCACGGTAAAACCTTTGAATTTGTGGGTAAGGTCGTCACTGCAAACTGAAACAGGCAAGTGCATTAAATGCTGTTAGCTGGCCAAAGCGGTACCTACATGGCTTCTTTAGCAAGACAAAAGGAGCTCAGTCTGGCTAGGTGCTTTGCATAATCGAACTCTGTTTTCTACGGAACAAAGGCTCAGGAAAGGGAAGCAAGCTGAAATGCAGCAGCAATCAGAATTTCATTTCAGTGCTAATTACAACTGCATTCTCCGCGGTGGCTTTTATTAAAATTATTCTCCACACTACTAATGTGACTTTCATTTGCTTTTTATTTCCCTAGCCTATCCTTCAGTGAAAATTACTATTTAGAAATAAAATGATCAAATGGAGAGACAGAGAAGGGAGAGAGAGGAGAGGCATCAAGAGGCCTGAAGTATAGAAGGTTTGAATAATCAGTTCCAATTCCTTTATTAGATCACTGTACATAGTAACCCAAGTGTGACTCACGTGCGTGTACACGTGCCTACGTGCACAGCATATTTCTGTTTTCTGGATTGAGGACCAGTCCTGACACATCCAGCCACACAATCAAGAGGAGGAAGTCATGAAATACCAAGTCTGCTCTAACAGAGTTCATCCTTCCCACATCTTTATCCTCTCGAGATCTCGGGTTCCGTTTGAACCCTCAAATGGGAATAGTAATACCTCCACTATCGGCCTTAGAATGGAGTTGTTGGGGATTTACATAAAAGTGCTTCAAAACAAACAGCACAATAAATACTATTCATTATCCTATGCAGAATATCTTTTTTGTTGGCAAAGGCAGCTTTCCGGAGCTTTACTACACGTCAGGGAAAAATGTCATTGTGGATACAGTCCCTGCTGCAGTGGTCAGATTACCCCAACTGCTTCTTAAGATGAGGGGTTTTTTTTCCCCTTAAGGTAATATGAACACACAATAAATTTACAAATTTTCAGTGTATGTGACATGTTTTAAAAACAAAAATGTTAGCCCTGGATGGGAGGCTCCGTTGGTTGGAGCATTGTCCCATACACCAAAAGGGTGCACGTTTGATTTCCAGGCAGGACACATACCTAGGTTGCAGGTTTGATCCCTGGTCTGGGCAGGTATAGGAGGCAAGCAATCGATGTTTTCAATCTCTCTCTCTCCTTTCCTCTCTCTAAAATTGATAAAAGATATTCTTGAGTCAGGATTTTAAAAAATGCAATCACTTTCTTGGAACCAAATTATGATCCATATTCGGACCAAATCTGGCGACAGAGCTGGTACAGCTTTTGGCCATGCCTGGGATCCTTGGAAAAGCTCCTGTTGCAGCCCTCAGATACTCCACATCCAAACCCTCAGCAAAACTGCTGGCTGTGCCTTCACAGTGCGGCTAGAAGTCATGTTGTTCTTACCACCTTCACTGCTCCCTTCCCGGCCCATTCCCCACCTCTCCTATAGGTTCCTGCAGTGGCCTCCTAACTGGTCTCTTGCACACCTCCTGTTCTCATCAGCCACAATGATCCTGTTAAAATTCGTTAAACTCTGTCATTCATTTCCAGGCTCAGAACTCTCCCCATTTCCCCCAGAGTAAAAGCTAAACTCCTCCAGTGGCCTACAGGCTCCTCCTCCAAGAGCCACAGCTCCACCCACTCCATGCCTCTTTGCATCTTTTATTTCATCCCAGCCCCTGACTTCGTGGCTGTTTCCTGAAGCCACTGGAATACTCTTCTTTAGGTGAGGGCTTCACATTTTCTGTTCCCCAAACCTGGACAGCTCTGTTCCAATTATCCATAGGGCTCACTCCCTGTCCTCCCTCAAGTCTTCCCCGACCATCCTATTCTAAACTGTGACCCCACCACTGCCACGGGGCAGTCCCAATCCCCTCCCCAGTTTACTTCTTGCCATAGAGCTTGTCATCATATAATTGTCTTATTTAATTTTGTTTATGGTTGGTGTTCTTCTACTAAAATATAAGCTCCCTGGAAACAGGGACTTTTTTGTCTCTTTCATTTTCTGATGACCCATAGTAGGCTCATAACAAATATTTGTTGAATGAATTAACAGTGCCTGATATATATAGATTAGAGGCCTGCTGCACAAGATTCGTGCACTGGAGGCGGGAGGTGGAGGGGGGTGTTCCCTCAACCCAGCCTGCACCCTCTCACAGTCCGGGAACCCTCTGGGGATGTCCGCCTGCTGGCTTAGACCCAATTCCCAGACAGTGAGACATCCCTCTCGCAGTCCAGGGCTCTCACAATCCAGGACCCCCTCACTCCTTACCACCCACCTGCAGCAGAGGCAGGAGAGGCTCCCACCACTGCCGCAGTGCTTGCCAGCTGTGAGCCCGGCTTCTGACTGAGCTGTGTTCCCCCTGTGGGAATGCATTGACCACCAGGGGGCAGCTCCTGCATTGAGCATCTGCCCCCTGGTGGTCAGTGTGTGTCATAGCGATGGGTCATTCCACCATTTGGTCGATTTGCATATTAGGGTTTTATTATATAGGATGCTCAATAAATGTTTACTATGATTTAAAATAATAGATGTATATCTGCAGGCACATTTAAACACCATACATCCAAGTAAGAGGCCAGTGGGTCTCTAGATACACACATGTATGCCTATATATCTCCTATACATATTTCCTTAGATGCTGCATAGACATATATAGAACACAATAGAGAAAACAGTATAGTGGTGGTTTATATTACTGTAACACCATCGGCCACATGGCTGACTTGAAAACCTTGATTACTATCAGAACTATCTAAAGACATTGTTAAATATAAAGATGAGTGGGCCCCACATCCCATGATTTTGACTCAGGGGGTGCTATGGTCTGAATGTGTCCTCCCCAAATTACTCCCAAAGGTAATGATATGGGAGGTGGACCCTTCAGGGGTACAAAGGTCATGAGGGTGGATTAGTGTCTTATAAAAAAGGCTCCAGAGAGCTCCTTAGAACCTTCTACCATGTAAGAAAACAAGAAGGTGCCATCTATGAATCAGGAAGAGGCCCCTCACCAGAAGGAGACCATGTCAGCACCTTGATCTTAGGCTCCCCAGGCTCCAGGACTGTGAGAAATAAAGTTCCGTTGTTGTTAAGCTACCCAGTCTGTGGTATCTTGTTGTAGCAGCCTGAACGAACTAAGACGGTGGGTCTGGAGTGGGGTCCAGGCAGCTCCATTTTTCACAAGTTTCAGGGAAAATTCTGATGCATAAAACATTTGAAAGTCCCTGAAATATATTATGAACATCTTGAGTAAAGAGCCCAGCCTGTTTTTTAATCACCCATCACGCCCAGCTGTCGTGGGGTGGGGCGGGGGACAAGGAGTAGGGCCATAATGACTATGTTATGTGTATCGATTCACTGACTGTGTTAGCTTTTGATTCCCTAAATAGGAATCATTTATGAGCCAAGCTATACAATTTAAAAATTGATCTAAGACTTTAAATGTTCTTTTAGGACTTGACTAAAATACTACCTCAGGAATCATATTGAGCAGAAATGGATTTCAGATCCATCAATTTTCTATTTTAAAGAACACAAAACTAGCCCTAGCCAGTTTAGCTCAGTGCATAAAGCATTGGCCTGCGGACTGAAGGGTCCTAGGGTTTGATTCCCATCAAGGGCACCTACCTCAATTGCAGGCTCCATCCCCAACCCTGTTGGAGGCAACCAATCGATGTGTCTCTCTCATATAGATGTTTCTCTCTTTGTCTTCCCCCGCCTCTTCCACTCTCTAAATATCAATGCAAAAATATCCTCGGGTGAGTATTAATAACAACAGCAAAAAAGAACATAAAGCTAGGCTGGGTTATATCCCACCCCCCTTTTGAACTCCACCTGAGCAATTTGGTATAACTTCTAGATGGCCGAGGTAATGGCCTCCTGACCAAGCATAGAGAAAACAAACATCCTGTTTATGCCAATACAGGGTCCTATTTTCATACCCCACAAGTGACCTCAAGAAGCAGCTGAACACGCTGACCAGTTATTGTCTAAACATTAATTACACCCAGAGCAGCACTGTTGTTCTTGAGTCTTGGCAAATGCACTCCTACAACCAGATGGAGAACTCGGAGCCATGGTGTTCCATGGATGAATGCACTGAGCCTATCTGGGAGCTCACTGTACTCAAAATATTACCAGTACCCCTACACTTATTGGGTGATCACTTCATAAGATACATTAATGTCTAATCACTAATTGAAGTATAATTGAAAAATATATATTTTTGAAAAAAAGTTTTAAATTAAAAAATATATATTACCAGTACCTCTCCGGAGAAAAAAATATAACATAGGGGTTGGACTTTGGATTTGGTTTGGGTTCTAATGCCGGCTCTGTTGTCCCTGGTAAAGTTATTCAAACTCTTTAAGTCTCTGTTGTCTGTCTTTAAAACATGGCAAAGTTTTGAGAATTAAATTTGATCATCTGTATGAGCTCAGTAACGTTTGCCATTTCTTTATTTATTTTTAAATATATTTGTATTGATTTCAGAGAAGAAAGGAGAGGGAGAGATAGAAACATCAATGATGAGAGAGAATCATTGATCCGTTGCCTCCTGTACACCCCACACTGGGGATCGAGCCCACAACCTGGGCATGTGCCCTTGACCGGGAATCAAATTGTGACCTCTTGGTCCATAGGTTGACGCTCAACCATTGAGCCACACCAGCCGGGCTGTCATTTATTAATAGTAGTAGAAATATAGGACCACTGATGGCAATATTCATTTGTGTTTTGGGCTCTGTCTTTGCCCTGTTCCCACTCCAAGCAGGTCTCCAGCTTCGTGTAACAGCTCCCCCCCCCACACACACAAAAGTTGTGAATTTTTTTAGAAAACAAGGATCAGACTGACTTTCCTACCAGTCAGGCAAAATGCAGTCTCCGAGGAATATTTCATTTCAATTAAAATACCATAGAGCACAAACCCACATTTATGGGGCAATGTTTGTGTCTGCTATAGTCTGAATAGCACTGGGTTTATTATTGTCTCTTATTCCCCTCCTGTGAGGCAGAAATGGGGATTTGGTGACTCAAATCCTTAAACA